AATCAAAAACGGAATAGGAACCGGACAAAGCTACAAGATCTCTTTTATTAAGCATATAGATAGATAGATAGAAGGAAAATCTCTCTTTAGTATCTGCTGGTTAGATAGAACATAGTGTTTTTCTCCCTGATTATAGCCTTTTTATATGTCAGTTACTTCTATAAAGCCAACAATGTCATCAAATTATATGCGATGTCAATGTTTTTTCTTAGACTGGCTGCACGTATAGCCAGTGTCCTGGCGGCACTGCCAACGGGGATGGACAGTTGCGGACGAGATCCCGTCCCTTAAAAGACGTAGGAGAGACCATTTGGGGCGCGAAACTGGTTAACTCAGTTAAAATGGTCATGTAGCTTTTGTGTTCTTTAAGTGGCGCCTAGCACACTCACCACAGCCGTTTTTCGCTATATGCCGGCTGACTTTTGTTGATGAGCATTAGTGAACCAAAACAGCAATAAAAATCGATTTCTAAGGCCTTACTCGCCATCTTAATTTTGAAAGGTCCTGAGGGTTGTACTAAAGTCGATCTTGATTGTTGACTTTTATTGCCATTTCTTGAACATAGTCTGTTGTCAGCACAACTGTTTCTGGTGCCTTTAGAATAATTACTGTTCTATGTTTATTGTCTTATTCTTGCTCCCACCTGAAACATTCCTCTACCTCTCTAACTTTCGCTTATTTACTTTTCTAGTGGGGAATCCTCAACCCCTGGCGGTTTTTGCATGCTCATTGGCATGCTGTCGAGGTCGCCTGTACACGCACCTTGCTCGCTGGCGTCTACTGCCTCGCTCCACTGTTTCGATCCCAACTCCTCTTTCTTGGGTGACCGAGAAACTACTACCCTACAGCGGTCTCCGCTCACTCCTGGCAGATTTCGTGAAGATAGCAGTAGCCTCTATCGGACTGCCTCATCCTCCGTTCTCAGCCGCAGCCCTTCTCTTTCGGTGTCATCTGCCTGTCTCGGCCCTGCATCTCCGCGTCGCGGATATTTAGTTCCAAACACCGAACTGGACGCTTGTTGGCGAGGCAGTAGTAGTTCACGGCAGTCAATGCCATCACCCGACTGGCAAGGTCAAAATAACCGACAGTCGACAAATGGACACCCTGACTTCGGGCCTGACCTCTACTCTTTTCTCAAGGAAGCTCAGCTCGATCACTATTACAGTGTTTTCAGTAAGCACCTTAAGGTGAGCTCTTTACCCATCTACTCATAAAAAATATGTGAGATGTTCACTGTGGCAACTTTTAAATGATTTTCCTGTCAGTTTCGGAACTTGTTTTTGTCAGATTCAATTCTTTCGATGGTTCCCGATTTTGGAGTATAAGATGGTACCGATTGCCAGTATATAACCGTTTGTCGTTTTCTCGCGGAAAAACCGTTTTTGCTACT